GCCTTAGTTTATTTTTTCTTCCGTATTTCGAATCCGTTACTGGGTCAACTTTTGGGTCATCACTGACGCACCGAATTAAATAAAAATTCGGGCCATTACAAGTGGTATCAGAGCTCCTAGGTATGAAAACCTTGGGACAACAGGTTTTGGGTGCATATTATACTTTCATTGATTTGCTTTAATATGTTTATATGCTACTGGTTAACCTATTTTAGTATTATAACATGTTACGTGCGTAGTTTCATAACATGTCTATGTGCTTATGTGCTTAGGTACCTAGAAGTTTTCAGTATCTATTTAGCATGTTGTATATGCTTATCTACTTTAGCATGATGGTATGTTACATACATTGACAAGCTTCTTATCTCATGTATTCATAGCATGAGTTGCATTCGGTCATAATAACTTATGTTATTGTTGACCTATTTCCTTATGTACGTTTAGCAACATGGTTGTCACGCATGGAGAGTCTTCACGTCAAGGCATTGAGGAGTAGGTTGATGACATCGGGTTTACGAGGGGTTTGGGAAGGCCTAGGATTCCAATTCATGGCATGGGTCTTAATCCACCACGAGTTCCGACTTATGAGGAACGGATCGCACAGGGAGTGGCTCTGGTAATGTCAGAGTCCATTCAGCAGATGTTTCGTCAGCATATTGTCGGGATGTAAATTCCGGTACTGGCACCAGCACTGGCACCAGTTGCTAATGAGGCATTAGACTACTTCATGAAGTTATAGTGGGTTAAGATCGACCAATTTACAAGGAGTATAGATCCGCTTGCTTCAGAGGCATGGCTTGATCTCATGGTACGCAAGCTCGATAGCATGGTTGTACCTACAAATCGATTAAGGATCTCCTTAATAGCTTTTATGTTTATGGGAGATGCCGATATCTGGTAGAAGTCTATGACCAATATCTACGATGTGGAGGTGATGACTTGGGAGGAGTTCAGGGCCTTATTCTTTGATTGCTTCTTTTCGAGGGCTATGAGGTAGGATATGAGAGTGTAGTTCACAGGTCTCTATCAGGGCATGATGAGTCTAATTGAGTATGAGACACGCTTCACCTCTCTTTCCCGTTATGCATCGAAGATGGTAGCTACCACTGAGCTCAGAGCAAGGAAGTTTCAGGATGGGTTCCATATTGATATTAGGCCACGGATTTCAGTATTGTATTTGAGGACCTATGGGGAGGTGGTCCGGAGGGCTATGATGGTTGAGGCAGAGGACCGAGATAAGCACAGGATCAAGGGTTCGTATAAGCAGCCGCATGGAGAGGCTCTATCATTATCTGTTGGGGGTTAGTGGAAGAAGGCTAAGGCCGGGGACAGTTCACGTACTCAGGGACAGTCACAGTAGGCTCGGTCTGCATCTGCAATTCCAGTATCTTTGGGGTCAGTCCGTGGAGTGATTTGTCATCATTGTCAGTAGCTAGGGCATATCAAGCCTCGTTGCCCATAGCTTCAGCCACAGACCAGTCAATCATAGGCTAGTAAGCCTATAGCTTCGGTGAAGGGGTTTCAGGGGACTTGTAACTATTGTAAGCAGCCCGGTCACATGAGGAAGGATTGCCCCCATCCACAGAGTAAGGCACAAAGTGGTGCAGGTTCACAAGCCACACCGACATAGTCAGTAGTTGTGCAATCAGGTTTTAGGGTGCCTCCGGCACCACAGCCAGTGGCACCGCCAGTTAGTTCTTGTGATACCCCTTGGATCCAAAACACGGGTTGATCAGGCCCAGGCCCAAACCCGAGGGAAATATCAATCAATTAATACTTAAATCGAACACAGAATACAAGATGAAATAATAAGAAGTAGATAAAAATGGCTGAAAAGAACTCTAATTGAAAATCCTCAAAAAATGTTATAAAAATCCAAACTCCAAAACCTTTAATTAATTAACAACTCAGGAATCCATCTAGTAGACCCCTAATAAAAATCCCAACTGTAAATGAAAACTGAAATAAGATCCAAAGCTAATAAGAAAGTAATCCTACATAACTGGAGGAGTAGAAGTCTGTATCTGCTCTGCACGATCAAGCTCTAACCCTGGAACTGACGAGCACCTGAAAAATAAAAGAGTGGGTCAGGCCCACATGCAAGTCCTATTCTACTATGATCCAAACAAGAATCCGATACGCAGATACATCCTAGATAGACTCAACAATATCTAGAGTAGTCCATATATGTATATATTACACACTATAGGACGCTCACTAGTCCAATAGGTCTGTCTTAGCCTGAGTAGAGATACCATGCAAATCGCACATTACGTGGTCATGTGTACCTAGACCTACCAGGGAACAGTAACTACTATCCAGCTATCCATCCTAGGTGATATATGCACCCTAACCATGATCCTGAGACTCAAGCTCATACCATGGCACCATAATATAAATATATAAAATCCATTCCAGATGTGTCATTCAAAAGGTTTATTGACCTGACACCTAATTATAAGTAGGACTTAACTTGTATAGTTAATCCATCTTATTTCTATGTAGGAAAGACTTAGTATTAGACTAATCCGTCCCTAAAATAGGTAGGTCTCAGCGTTTTGAACTGAGCCATCCCTATTATGCCACCATCCCATACCGGTGTATATCTATCCATGTAAGTAGGACTTAACTTTTTATAGTTAATCCAACTCACTCCAAGTTAGGTAGGATTTAGTGTTTTACTAATCCATCCCTAGTATGCCACCGTCCCATACCGGTGCATTCAAACCTCCACATAACATAATTATTAAAACAATATTTGTTATTATCTCTACTATCCAAGATATGCATCAATATAAATTAATACATATATATCCATATTAGGCATTCAATATAAAGCCTAAAAAAATAATGTAAATTGCTAAAACAAATACAAGCATTCACATCCTCCAATTTGTCCTTTAACTGATGCAGTTGAACAGCAAGGTGAATATTAATTTGATTCAACACAAGCATGGTTAAATTCAAGTAATCTATGTTACTTATAATCCTATTCAAATATGATTAATCAAAATTAAATCACATATAAACAATCCTCAAAGTTTTAAAGTGCAACTTGTAAGATCTTTCCCTAACTGTACACTGTCCATTCCTCAATCCCCTTTATGAATTATTGTTTACCTATATTCTTACGGGTCTAAAATAATAATATACACTATTTGAAACAATTTAAACAAAGTACACAAATTCTGTATAGCCCAAACAGTCCCTAAACTACCCAAACAGTCCCTAAAACCAACTTCGGAGAAGCCTGAGGAGAGAGCAGGCTCTCCCAAAATTGGGAGCCTGCTCCACTTTGCCTAAAGCCAGCTCTAGTGCCCTTAGAGCTGGCTCTAATACATCTAGAGCTGGCTCCCCCCTTTGGGAGCCGGCTCTAAGGACTTTTAGGAGCCTTCTCTCCCTTCCTTGGCAGTCGTTGTCCCTTCTAGTTTTCTTCCTCACCTCCGACCACACTTACAGTCTCTGTATTAAGTTTAATTACATGTTTTAAGGTCCCATCCTAGTTCCAGATTAATTTTAAAGCAATATAATCCAACCATGACAGGAAATTTAACACAAGTTTAAAGCATCGACAGTAAGAACACAGATTGAAGTTTTTAAAACAACAGAGACCTGATTAATTCCATGGAGTCTCATAACGATTACACATGCATAAAAGATGTATTTAAGCTTTAGTTTAATCCCTGGAGTCTATCTAAACATGCACAGAGCACAGATTAGAGGGATAGAGTAGAACAGAGACTTGCCTTTGAAACTTTGGATAAAAAGCTCTAATTGTTGTCTCTATCTTCCCCGGCAACGTTGGTTGTGTTAAACCACCCTTGCTGATCCTATTGCAGTCCAGTGACACACACCAAACTTCCCTCCTTGACTCTGCTTTGTGAACCACCCAAAATTCCCACTCCGATTCTCTATGTATCTCTCTGGTTTTCACTACAAAATTAGAAGCTCTGTTTGTGGCTTACAGACTTACGTGTTTGATCTCTAAACCCTAAACCATGTATTGCTTTATATTTATAGGTGTATATTACTACCCTAATCCATAAATAATCAGAGACTAAGCCCTAATCCCCATCCTATTCGGCCCATAAAACTATCTCAGCTCTAACTTACGGCGGCTTACCTATACGTGAAACATAAGCCAAAGTTATAACTGTAACCATAAAAGAATTATGGTAATTAATTACATCAGATACTCAAAAAAAATAATATAAATAGTTACCCAATTAAGATAATTACCACAGTATTAAATTACAATAGATAATCAAATAATAGAATTTAATGTAAATCAAACTATTTAATTAACACACAATTAAATCAATTAAATACTTTAAAAAAACAAATTAAATACTTAAATTAATTCACCCAATATAAAACAATTAAACAAATACTCAAATAAAATAACACATCATCAACGAAGATGCAACTAAAAAAATTAAAGACCAGGAATATCATTTTAAAATTAGGAGTATTACAGTTCTTATCCGGGTAAAGGTTCTACGTCTACTGCTTCCAGACATCAGTCAAGCCATTAGGGCAGTTCTCAGTAGTCAGGGGCTCAGGGATGAGCTTATGCATTGCCATAGGCAGATACCTCTGCAGGGACTACTTTAGTTCAAGGTATCTTTCCAGTTTTCAGTTCTTGGGCTAGAGTTCTTATTGACACGGGTGCATCACATTCATTCAAATCTGAATCATTTGCACATTCCTTGGGTCTGGAAGTCACGCAGTAGGATGGTTTCCTTTGTGTTGACACACTAGTTGGGGGTCTAGTGTTTTTGGACTATGTTTGTCGGGGTTGTGCCATTGAGATAACTGGGCAGACCTTAGAGTTCGATTTTATTGTTTTCGACATGACGGGTTTTGACGTCATTCTCGGGATAGACTGGTTGTCTTTCTTTCATGCCACGATCGATTGATTCTGTGGGAGGGTGTCTGTTTACACTCCCAAGGGAGATTTTTTTCACTTCGTGGGAGATTGGAGTGATTCTCACCTGACGATGATTTTCAGTATCGGTGACTGGAGTCGCCACAGATCCTACTTGGCTAGCCTGTTAGCCAACGAGGACAACAGTTCTGGCCACATTTATCCAGCAATTGTAGTGGAGTTTCTAGATATTTTTCCAGAGGAGTTAACAGAGCTTCCTCCTCTTCGAGAAGTTGTCTTTGCCATCGACGTCATTCCCGGTACTGTGCCGATCTCTATAGCACCGTACCATATGGCACCGACAAAATTAGATGAGCTGAAAGCTCAATTGGATGATTTAAAATCTAAAGGTTTTCTTCGTCCTAGTGCTTCACCATAGGGAGCATCGGTTTTTTTTGCGAAGAAGAATGATGGGTCCTTAAGACTTCGCATCGATTATCGCAAGCTGAACCACGTTACGATCAAGAACAGGTATCCTTTGCCTAAGATTAATGACTGGTTTGATCAATTGAAGGGAGCCACTTATTTTTTGAAGATTAATTTGATATCAGGTTACTATCAATTGAGGGTTAAGGATAAAGATATATCCAAAACCGCTTTCCGCATACGGTATGGCCACTATGAGTTTCTAGTGATGCCATTTGGTTTGACCAATGCTCCAGCAGCTTTTATGGACTTGATGAACCCTGTATTCAGTGACCATCTTGATCAGTTCATTATGGTTTTCGTTAATGACATTCTTGTATACTCAGCTTTGGTCGAAGAATATGAATATCATTTGAAAACAGTGTTATAGATCCTTAAGGATAATTAGTTGTACGCCAAGTTTGAGAAATGTGAATTTTGGCTATCGGAAGTGAAGTTCCTTGGACATGTTATGTTAGGGGGCGGAGTTGTAGTGGATCCATCAAAGATTGAATCAGTGATGGATTGGGAATGTTCAAAAACAGTATTCGAGATTCGGAGTTTTCTTGGCCTAGCTAGCTACTACCGAAGATTTGTTCAGGATTTCTCTCGTTTAGCGTTACTTATGACTCGACTTACCCACAAGGGGATCGAGTTCATATGGAACGAGGCTTGTGAGGTTGCTTTTTAGGAGTTAAAGGTCAAGTTGACATCGGTTCCAGTTTTGATCATTCCTAAACGTGGTTTGGGTTATGTAATCTTTTGTGATGCTTCGTGGGAAGGTTTGGGTTATGTCTTGATGCAGACAGAACGGGTGGTTGTTTATGGGTCTCGACAGTTAAAGACTCATGAGTTGAACTATCTGACACATGATTTAGAGTTAGCAGCAGTTATCTTTGCCCTGAAGGGGTGGAGATACTATTTGTATGGGAAAAGTTTGAGGTTTTCTCCGATCACAAGAGTTTCAAGTATCTTTTTTCTCAGAAGGATTTGAACTTGAGACAGCACAGATGGGTTGGGTTTATGGAGGACTATGACTTTAAGTTGCAGTATCATCCGGGTAAGGCTAATGTAGTGGCCGATGCACTGAGTAGGAAGTCACGGGGGACTCTTGCTAGCATTTTGTCCATAGATGGAAGATGCTAGAAGAGCTTGCAAATCTTGGTTTACAGTCATATGAGGACGTTTCACCATCTATTTTGTTTAGCCTTGTGGCTCAACTGGCTCTCGTTAGCAGAGTTATTAACGCACATCAAGAGGATAGAGAGATGAAGGCCATCCACGTTCAGATTTTAGGCGGTGAGAATGTAGAGGGTTGGACCTTACATTCAGACAGCGGTCTCAGGTATAAGGGGATGATGTTTGTTCCTTTGTCTTGTTATGAAGACGTTCTTTGGGATTTTCACCATTCTCGGCTTATAATTCATCCTGGTAGTATGAAGATGTATCACAATCTGCGACGACAGTTTTGGTGACAAGGCATGAAATGGGATGTTTCATAGTTTGTGGCTCGATACCTTACTTATCAACAAGTGAAGGTAGAGCATCAACGACAGGCAGGATTGTTGCAACCATTACCGGTAGCTGAGTGGAAATGGGAGTACATCACTATGGATTTCATAACAGGACTTCCAAGGTCTCAGGCAGGGAATGATACCGTTTGGGTTATAGTTGACAGATTGACTAAGACGGCTCACTTCTTGCCCATGGCAGTGACGGACAGTGCAAAGAGATTGAGTGGATTGTATATGAGGCAGATTATTAGGCTTCACGTGGTCCTGTATCCATTATTTCGGATAGGGATCCATGGTTCACGTCTTACTTTTGACAGAGTTTTTAGGAGGCTCTTGATACGGGGCTTCATTTCAGCACGGCATTCCATCTTTAGACTGATGGTCTGTCGAAGCGCACTATTCAGATATTGGAGGATATGTTACCAGCTTATATCTTAGATTTCAGAGGTAGTTGGGAGGACTACTACCTTTGGTTGAGTTTGCCTACAACAATAATTACCAGACCATTATTGGTATGGCACCTTTTGAGGCATTGTATGGCAAACCTTGTAGATCTCCAGACAGAAGAGTTACACTGATAGGAGGAGACGATCCTTATCTTTTGAGGTAGGGGACCATGTATTTCTTAAGATTTCTCCGCGCGAGGGACTTCTGAGATTTCGACAAACAAGCAAGTTGTCTCCTAGGTTCATTGGACCATTTGAGATATTGGAGCCCGTCGATGAAGTTGCTTATCGTTTGGCGTTGCTGCCTGGATAGCGTTCATGACGTCTTTCATGTTTCTATACTGAGGAAGTACGAGCCGTATCCATCACATGTTTTATGATGGACAGATGTTGTTGTTGATGAGGACGTGACCTATGAGGAAGGTCCAGTCTAGATTCTTGATTCATGGGAACAGGTCTTGCGGACCAAGACCATTCCATTGGTTAAAGTCTTGTGGAGACACCACGGCATTAAGGAGGTTACCTGGGAGCTCGAATAGGAGGTTCGCTCTTGGTATCCCCATTTGTTCTCTCTTTCAGGTACGATTTGATTTCGGGAATGAAATCCTTTTAAGGTGGGTAGGTTGTAATGACTCGGTCATTTTTCTTCTTTTCTTTTTTCGGTAATTTCTTTTTTTCATCTTTTTTCCTATTTCGTCTTTTTCTCATTTATCATTTTTCCTTACATAACCTCACTTTTTGTGCTCAGATTTGATCCCGGCTTTGCATAAATCCATGTTACTTCAATTCCATGATATCTACATTTTTACTTTTATAGAAAAGCATACTAAATGTTTACTTTTTTTGTAAAGGGTATGGATGCATAACTTCTTGGTCATATTCTTGACTTTTGGGGTTTTAGTATAATTATGCAAAGTAATTATTTTTCATCTTAGGGACCATTTTGCAAATTAATTAAGAAGATATTTTCAAAAAGGACCTTTTTGTAATTTTTGGAAAATATGACAAGTGTCACACTCTCATGGTGCCACTTGTTGATCTTGTGGTGGAACCACTTGGAGGCTTAATCTCTTGACACATGGAGGGTGGAGATTCACCCATTTGTTGGCCTAAGATTGGAGCACTTGCTGCCTTAGATGAATGACAAGTGTAGGCTTAGGATTAAGCCTAAAAAGGAGCCTTAGATGAATGACAAATGTAGGTCTCACAGTTAGTCTTGCAAGTGTGTGTGTTAGAGGTAGTGCAAAAGCACCTAGTGAGTGGAGAATCCCATCATATTTAGCTTAGGGTTTACACTTAGATTTCATTCCATCTCTTTCCTCTCAAACCCAAACTTGGCCACCATTAGAGCAAAGCTTGATTTAAGGCTTTTGACTTCATTTTTGGCCTCCTTCCAATCATCCTAGACCTTTGAGCTTGGAATACTTTTGTTTCCTCTCACTCTCCTCTATAAAACCCTTGTTTGGTTTTCCATTTTTAAGCTTAGTTGCCTTGGATTATAGAGATACAATTCTCTATTGAGATAGGGGTGTTCTAGTTTGTTATCTAAGTGAATTAATTGCTTTTGTAGTGATTTATAAATGATATGTATGTCTACGACCAATTTGAGAAATTAGTGATAAATTGTAACTTGTATATAACTCACTTTAGACTTGGTATATGGCATGGCCATGACTTGAACCTTGTTGTATATTAATATGGCATGATTTAAATGAGCTTTTAAATCTAGAGATTTAAGTGATATAAATTGATTTTAATTCTACTTATTTGTACCATGTTTGTATTCCAATTTGGACTTGATATATGGCATGGCCATAACTTCCTCCTTGTTATATATTAAATTGGAACCATTTGAACAACTCTTGAAATCTAAAGAAATTAACTAGTTAGTCTATTTCATTTCTATCTTATTGATCTAATGATTTAGTCATGTAATTCATGGAGCTTTATTGTGTTTTTATCACATATCATAACTTGTTGCTCAACATGTTGATTTTGGAAACTTGGGATATCATCAAGAACTTGACTTGGCTAGGACTTGGTTCTAGTACGGGAGATAGAGATCTCCCTACACTATAGTGCGCACTAGGGGAAGGTACCCATGGGTTAATAGTCCTAAAGTGATCCCAAGAGAACAGTTTTAGACCGGGCGATATCCAAGCATCTACTTTGGTTTGATTTCACTCTTTAAATTCTAAGTTGATAACCTTGTGAATTTGTATCTCATTGTGTCTTTTTGAAAGTTCCAATGTCATTTAAATAGTATGGACTAAATTGTATTGAATTACAAACTTTGTATAAGGATAAGCCTATGCATGCTCATTCCCTACGAGTAAACTTGTTTACTCACCCCAAAGTTACCGGGTGTTTTTCAAGTAAGGAAGCATTATTGTGGGATGCACATCACTCTTAGAATTGCTTGACTACTTGGAGCATTTTGTTATATTAGAATATGCACTTATTAGCATATCATGCTTCCCTTTTGGTTTAATGTATCAAAACTTGTAATTTTTGCTCTAGCTATGCAATGTGCACTTAAGTGCACCTTTTGTTACTCTTAGAATGTGTTTGTAATGAGCCCAAACACCAAGGATACTTATGTGATATGTATGTTAATTTTAACTTCATTGTTGCCTATGGAAGATACGTGATTTAATGCATTGAAGGGTCATATTTTGCATATGACATGCTATGAGACCATATGCCATTTAGCGCATCTACTTTATTGTATTAAGCATGCATACATGTTCACTTTGGCACACAATACCATTCTTGATGAAATAAAAACTTCGAACTTGCATTTTCTTGAGTTTTTACCCTTTTCTGGTCAAGGGCATTTTGGGTATTTCACAGTGTGTTTTTTTTTTTTATTTTTGTCCACTTTGCGGGGTAGAAAGCTCGATTTCAAAGGGGGGATTTCTTCTTTGTGTTTTTCCAGAAAATGTCATCTAGGCCCTCAAAAACCCATTTTTTATCGAAAAACCCCTGCTGCTAGGATTTTGCTGACTTTTAGTACAAGTGTGCGATTAGTAAACTTCTCATAACGGGTTAGATGACTTGGGGCAGTATTGTGGTCATTAGTTTTGGCCTCCTAACCGGTTAGGAAAGTTTGGTAACCGGTTAGCTGGCCTAGGGTTGACTACTTTAACTATTTTACCCCTCTTTCTTCCGTTAGCCATATCTCCTTCATCCAAACTCCGAATCAAGTGATTATTGAGTCTAAGTTTATTGATTTTTTTGTTGTCTTTCCAATGGTGTGCTCAGTAGCACCCACTTTTATTTTGGAAATGACCATTTTGCCCCTAGGGTCGTTCTTGTCCATTTTTGAAATGTCGCTTCCGCATTTATTTTCTTTGGGTTCCATGACCTCATTAAGGGTCACATTAGTGTCCTAGGGACATGTTGTATCCCCATAAACCTTGGTTTATCTTTTACTTCCACATTTCAAATCCATTACTGAGTCAACTTTCGGATCATAACTGACGCACCAGGTTGAATAAAAACTCGGGTCATTACACACACTGTCCTCTCCATATTTAATACTCGTATTCTATAGAAATAACTTCACTACTATAAAATTTTCACCTTGCAAAATATGAAAATTCCAAGCTCCATTCAAAATTAAGGAATTAACCTTGACATCCCTATGAAAATGTAGGCTTCTAACAGTTCTGTGTCCAAACACATCACTGAAAAGTTGCCCACTACACCACAGATCCTTGAACAGACTAGTTTAACAGCCATTCCCAATCTGATACGTAATATTTTGCTACACCACATCTCTAACAGATACCATTGATTTCCATATAGTGGAACTGGTTTGCCTAACAACCACAGTCCAGTAGTTTGTACCTTTAGCATATATGAAGTGAATTATACTCTTCACCATCTTCAGTCTCAAACTCAGTAAGTTTCTTTTTGGTTCTTGTTTGAACTCCAACTTGAGGTGAACCTATGATGTTCTCAGCTTGAACCTGCTTTTATAGTCCTGGATAATTGGTTTCCTTTTGAGTTTCAGGTTCAGACATAGAAGAACTAGCTTTATTAGATTCTGGTATGTTACAGCAGTCTTCAGTTAGGCTTGATTGAGGATTCTCATTAAACTTTACATAAATTAATGCAACAACCTTTGAAGATTTGAGGTTATAACATCTGTAAGCTTTGTTTTTGATGGAGTAGCCTAAGAAAATACCTTCATCTGCCTTTAAATCAAATTTCCCTAAGCTATCAATGTGATTTAGTATGTAACATTTGCTGCCAAAAACCTTGAAGTAATGAACAATTGCAGGTTTTTCATACCATAATTCAAAAGGAGTCTTAGTTGAATTAAGTCGAAGAAGAACTCTATTGATGATGTACACTGCAATACTCATAGCTTAAGCCTAAAATCCCATTGCAAGACCTTTCTCAAGCAACATTGTTCTCCCCATTTCTTGAACAGTCCTATTCTTCCTTTCCACAACCCCATTTTATTGAGGAGTAGCTACAGCTGAGAACTCTTTCTTAATGCCTTTG